TCATCGGCCGTATGGTATGGAGACTTGGGATCAGTTGAGCGTTTGGCACGACTCGCGGAGTGAAGGCGATGCAAATGACTGGTGTCGACGGGCGGGTAGTCGAGCGGCTCGTAGTGTTCAACGTATTCATCCAACCGTTCCGTCCACACCATCGACGGCCACAACAGACACACAGACGACAACAACACAACCGATGATAACCTATTGATGCAACACATGATGGGTGCGGACGAGTGAGTGAGTGGGTGTGTGTGTGTGGACTGGTTTTGGCCGCCGGGGGATTACCGGATCAGATGAGGTGATGAGTAGACAATCATAGCGTCCATACGATTACAATAAACAATCAAAACAATAGGACTAATGAATACAACATATTGTGTGCGACCGAAACCATTGGCACATCATTTCATTGTCCACTCAATGGCCGATACAATGCGAGACTCTGTGGACCAGTTGTGGTGATGATAGGGGTCTTCGTTCGGGCAAACGTATGGCCAATGGATCCAATGGTTTGGATGTCATTGAGTGGATGTCTTTCACACAATACAAACCCAAACACTGTGTGTGAGTGAAGACAACAGTAGTAGTGATCGTTGTATTGAGTGTTAGTGTTGTACACACTGTGCATACTATGCATACACTGTATGTATTGCGCACTCAAATGCACTCAAACAACACAAACACAGCACAGACTGTAAGGCTATTGTGCTCTCACTGGCAGTGCAACCAACAAACCAAAAGCCATGAGTCGAGTGCCCATACATTGAGTTTCTATTTGACGTTACGTTACGTTAGGCTGAATAGCGTTGGCTGTTGTGTACGCTTACCTGACATCGACTGTAGTGAGCGTAGAGCGCGTGCGCCACCACTCCCTATAGGAAACACCACTGCTTTTGTGGAAATCATATGATTTTGCATTGCATTGAATGCACTGAACGGGTGTGCGATGTGTGGCTCCACCTGTTGGCTGTCACGCATAGCACTGGTGTTGTGTTGTGTGGCGTAAACACTGTGTTGTGAAACCAAAACACAAATGGTTTAACGGATTTTGTGTTTGATTTGAAAATCATTTACTAATCGCTCATTAATTATGGCTTTGATTAACACAACGACTAAACTGTTTACGCATTCAATGCCCGAAATCTATTGGTATTTATATTTGAATTATAATTATTTTTGATATTTACTGAACACATGTCTGTATTGTATGTGTAATCCTTATGGACAGCGGGTCTGTGCGGTCGCGGACTCTGTGGGCGACAGTTGTGGCCAAATATCGTCTGTTCGCGAACGGAACGGAGGATCCGTTGCCATACTATAAGCCTCTGACGCCCGACAGTGTGTTGGAGGAGATGTACGAGAAGTACCCACACGTCGTCCCCTACGAGAACCGCCAGTACTTCAAAGAGTGTTACCAACAGCTGAAGAGTCACCAGAAGATCCACGAACACAACAAACGCATCCGCACTCTCCAGAAGAAGATCACCGCCGGTCAGTACGACACGTATGGATACGCCAACAAGTGGTAGACTGTCTGCCAGTGTTGGCCATCGAGTCTTCAGTTCTCTACTGTATATTAGTCTTTGATTTAGGTTTCAATTTAATGGTTAAATAGTTTTTTCTGTTTTTTCTTTTCAATTAAATTGTATTTTAATCTCAAATTTGATTAGTTTTTTGTTGTGAAATAAATTTGATGATAAGATTTGCCGTTTTGTATGTTTTTTTTAATCAAATTTCCACATCGTTTGTACCGTACAAATGGTATGTGTTTGTCGTTTTGTGCGATACGTTTAACGGCCGCCAAATCGGGTATTAGTTATAACATTATTGTGAGTTTGTTTGTAAAGTATTCAATACATAGTCCACAAAACGTGATTACAATTTAAGGTAATTAACGAGACAATTAGTGTTTGTAAATGTATGAAAAGCACATTCCTGTCCGGAGCCGATCCATTCTTGTACTGTTCCGGTAAGTAATGGTAAAATATTTTCCGGTCGTGTTCTGTACGGATCAGGAAAATACGGGATTGTAATTACAAAGACTATGGCTCTCATGTCACTCAACAATAGGTTAACTGTAAGATATTTGGCCACAAAACTATAGTGAGATAGCGGTTGTTATTCAGTTGCTATGATATCGATATTGACTTATTTATAATAAATGAATATTTGATTAAAAAAATGTCACTCAACAATAGGTTAACTGTAAGATATTTGGCCACAAAACTATAGTGAGATAGCGGTTGTTATTCAGTTGCTATGATATCGATATTGACTTATTTATAATAAATGAATATTTGATTAAAAAACGGATTAATTATTTAGTTGCATAACAAGTGCTGAACAGTTTTAATGAATTATGCAATAAAATAGTGATATCTCATATATTTCATGCAAAACACATGAATTTCAATAAATATTCAATGTTAGCAAAGAATATTCTTATACAACACTTTTATTGTAAACACTTATCACTTATTTACATATTATACAGAATAATAATATAATGCAATACATTCTTGTCATTGAAATGACTTAAGAGTTAAGCCTAAATAAACAATATTTCGTCAAATCCTACATAAAATAAGAGTTTAATATAATATTTCAGTAAATCTCACATCCGTTTAAGAAAACAATTTACTTCAATGATAAAAAAAAGTGCCAAATATTTCCTAACAGGTGTCCACACATTAGCCCAAAAAAAAGTTTTTTCTCTGTCTTTCTCTATCTGTGCTCTTCATTCACTTATTCAATACAATAGGAGAGAGAGAGAGAGAGAGAGAGAGAGAGAGAGAGAGAGAGAGAGAGAGAGAGAGAGAGAGAGAGAGAGAGAGAGAG